TTTTTATTAAGCCAAGCGTTTAAGTTTTGAAAATATCTCCTAATAGGTCCGAAAAAAATTTCTTCCACTTAAAGTTAAAGGTTAAAAAAAAAAATATGTTTTAAACGAAATACGTCATTGTTTTAATGATTTTTAAAATATTAGCAAATTAAATACATAAAAGACCAAAAAAATGTAACTACCGCCTAATTTAATTAATTTTTAAAAGTATTACTCCATTTCATTTATGAAATTCTACCATAATTTCACTATAAAATTTCTTTCTTTAAAAATTTTGGGTTTTAGTCATCAAACTGACACACCCTAATATATATATACAAATAGTATTGCATACTATGGTAAGCAATCTGACGTCAGGCTGCTGCTGGGGGTTTCAGTACATACACTTTTCGACTGAAGGTTTAGGATGGGGAAGCAATCGTTTTATTCATCATTCTTCATTTTTTCTTCTTTTTCGAAAAAAACGGTATAGCCTAAGGTAAGCAGAAAAAGTGAGCAAATGCTTATCAAAACACGCTTTACTAAGTGTATATATATATATATATATATATATGTATATATATATATATATATATATATATATATATATATATATATATATATACATATATATATATATATATATATATATATATATATATATATATATATATATATATATATATATATATATATATATATATATATATATATATATATATATATATGTATATGTATATGTATATATATATATATATATATATATATATATATATATATATATATATATATATATATATATATATGTATATATATATATATACATATATATATATATATATATATATATATATATATATATATATATATATATATATATATATATACATATATATATATATATATATATATATATATATATATATATATATATATATATATATATATATATATACATATATATATATACATATATATATATAAAAGTAAACTTATTTGTTTACACTTGTTTTGAATGGATAACATTTTTTATTTTTCCTAATATTATAGAAAATTGCTCCGATAAGAGTTTAAACTGTAGGGTATACCAGGTTTAGATATTGTTGTTAACAGCGTTCCGATAACTAAATTTACTCATTTACAATTTTTTTTAACCAAAAACCGTCATGCTTTCTATTGTATAACATACCTAAAACTCACTTTTTAGTGTCAGTAAAATAAGTTTTCAATAAAATAATTTTATTAACACTAATTTTAGTAAAAATTTTATAAATTTCAATATATAAAATGGAGTCATAAAAACTTTAGTACTTTTATTAATTTGCATATTTTGCAACATACCATTCATAAAGTTTTTAGAATTTTTAGTTTCTTTTTTAATTTGAACTTTTTTTAGTTTTAAATCTTCCACGCTTTGAGCTTTTATCATTTCATTTTTACAGTCAAAAACTTCAGCTAGCCTGTCCTTGATGTCATATTAGGGGCATATCTGTATGTTCAATCTTTTATTTTTTAGCCATTATCTAAACAGAGATATAAGAAATCTATTTTATCACTGGCGTTAAAAACTGCTGTTTTACTTTAAACCAGATGATAGCTTATCGCAGGGTAATATATATATATATATATATATATATATATATATATATATATATATATATATATATATATATATATTTATATATATATATATATATATATATATATATATATATATATATATATATATATATATATATATATATATATATATATATATATATATATATACACACACACATATATATATATGTAGTAGGCAAAAAAACAAATGGCACAAACTTTTTTTTTTCAAAAATTCTTATAAATTGATTTAAAAATGGTAGTTACTTTTTATTTTTAAGGGAATAAACTATTAATTATTTAAAAATAGCATTATATTGAAGCATTGTATTCAAAAATTATTATATACTTTATATTATTTTTATGACTTCAAGTGCAAAAATGGCTCCTGACAGTCTTGGATTGGAACTAAGAAAGAAAATTATTGGCGATCACGTAAGTGGAATGTCACATTTCACTTACGTAATTGCCAATTCAGGCGATATTTATCACAATGTATTTGTGATAAATATCGCGTGAAAAAATGGACCCTATCAAGACTATGTTCCAAGTATTGTTCTACGGGGAAGTTAGCATATAACAAAGGTGGAAGACCGCGTTCCACCACTTCTAGAGAGGATTCTATGATCGTCAGATCTGTCAAGAAGGATCCCTAGATATCATCAGTCAAGATACAAAAGCAATTAGAGCTGCCTGTGTCGGACCAAACAATCAGACGACATGCTGTTGAAGCCGGATGGTTTTCTTGACGCCCTGCAAAAAAACCGCTAATTTCACTTAAGAACCAGAAGAAAAGACTCCTGCTTGCTACATCTCATATTGACTGGAATGTGCAGAAATGGCGAACTGTCTTGTTCAGTGATGAATCGAAGTTCAACGTTATTGGGAGCAATGGCAATTGCCGTGTATGTCGACCGGAAAACGCCTCGATTTACGTTACTGCCATAAGACTGTGAAGCATGGTGGAGGCAATGTAATGGTCTGGGGTTTTTTTTTCTGCTAACAGTCTAGGTCTAATACATCGAATTGATGGAATAATGGACCGCTTCATGTATAAAAATATCCTGAAAGATGTTATGTTACCTCATGCTGAAAGGAATATGCCAATAATATGAGTTTTTCAGCAAGACAACGATCCAAAACACACTGCAAAAGTAGTCAAGCGGTGGTTTTCAAGACAATCACCTATCGGTGATGGATTGGCCACCTCAATTTCCGGATCTCAACCCTATCAAGAACCTGTGGGAGAACATCAACCGCAGAATTAATCGTGAAGGTGTTCGTAATAAGAATCAACTGTTTGAACAAATCCAAAAGGCCTGGGCAGTGACTCTACAAAGTTTCATTGATCGCCTGATCAAATCTTTGCCTTGAAGATGCAAGGTGATCGACAACAAAGGATTCGCCATAAAATATTGATAGCGAAATACAGCTTGGTCATCTTTTTGGGGAGTTGCACTTGTTTTGTCCAGAAGGAAATCAACTTTTTTTTAATACTTTTGATTAATTTATTAATTTTCGTGTACAAATAATGAACTTTGTGATGAATAAAACTTGAATAACGTTGTCTCTAAACAGTTACATAGTTATTTCTCTAAATTGAAAAAATGCAGCACTTTTATATAAAGAAACTAAATTAGCATTATTTGGTTGCACTTGTTTTGTACGATACTGTATAAGTTCATATGACTTCGAAAAATCAATTGTTTTTATACTCATCAAATATTTTCTTGCAAAAAAAATAATGGCACAAAAAAGAAAAATCTCCAAATTTAGACAAAAAATTACTTTTCAATATTTAGTTAGGCCACCCTTTGCAGAATAACTGCTTGCAGATGTTGAGGCATGGATTCCATTACAGAATTGGTTTCTTCTGGATTCATTTTCTCTCATGCTTTAACTATGGCTGCTTTTAGATCGTTTTGTTTTCTTTAAGCTCGATCTCCAATTTTCTGGTCTAGAATGTACCACAAATCCTCAATCGGATTAAGGTCAGAGGACTGGGCAGGCCATTCCATCACATTAATATAATTCTTTTTGAAAATATTCCTTTGCTGTGATAGCAGAATGTTTTAGATCATTGTTTTGTTGAAAGACGAAGTTATTTCGGAATTTACAAGCAGAGGGCTTCAAATTTTGTTTTGAAATGTCTATATACGAATTGCTGTTCGTTGTTGATTCAATGAAAGTCAATTTGCCAGCTCTTTGCCACACCCTTGATCCTGACACCATGACATTTCCACCACCATGTTTTACTGTTTCTTTCATGCAATTCTATTTGTATGCCTCGCCTTGTTTTCGCCAACTTTTTGCCGTCCATCGGATGAGATCAGGTTAAGTTTGGATTCATCACTCTAAATTACTTTTTTCCAGTACTAAATAGTCTTGTCAACATATTTTTTTGAAAATAATAATCTTTGTTTCATATGCCCTCAAATAGTCTAATCAATGCCTTAGAGTCAGATAGGGTTTTTGCGACATACTCTAGCATGAAATCCTTGCTCTTGGATTCTATTTTGGATAGTTTTAGCTGAAATCATGATTTTATTGTCGTTTTTAACTTTGTCTGCAATCTTTTAAGCAGCTTCAAATCTGTTTTGCTCGACTTGAAAAGTCGAGCAAAACAGTGATATTTACATATTTAACACATAAAATAATGTTTTTATCAATGGCAACAGATGTTTTTCTTTTACAGCCTCTTTCTGCTATATCAGTTGTAGTCCCTTTCAAATTATACTTTTTTATAATGTTGCTGACTGTTCGAAAAGGAATTTCAATCTGCTTATTAACTTCTCTGTAGGTTCTACCATTATTTTCCAACTAATTTTCTTTTCGAAATTGTCTGTTTTTTTTTTAACAACGCGCTTTTTGCTATAATTTAATCAATTTTATTCAATTGATCAAAACTCATGGGTTACATATTTTATGTGTTAAATATGTAAATATCTAATGAGTTATATAAGTAAATATAATTTTAGACTTAAACTTACCAAAATGTATAAAATATTTTTTCTCCACAAAAATTCAAATAGATGTTTCATTGGAAGCAAAATAATTATTGGCACAAAACTTTTATGTGCTTTTAGTGTTTTTAAAAACAATAATCCATTGGTAAAATCATGCACAAGTACATATAAAAATCTATATAGTAGTTCTCTTTAATGAACATTTAAACTTTTTGCAGTTTTTAAAAAACATGAGTAAACAGATAAGTTAAAAAGAAAAAACTTTAAAAAAGTTGCTTGAGCCGTTTTTTTTTCTCCTGCTGTTTGTATATATATATATATATATATATATATATATATATATATATATATATATATATATATATATATATATATATATATATATATATCTGATCATACTTAGACATAATCGTAAAAATTAATATTGCTACATTTTTCGATTTTAATATTTAGCAAATGACCAAACGTGAAAAAGAAATCAAACGATCATCTCATCATCATTTGCATTATAACAGTCAACGTGATAGAGAGTACGAAGGTGACAACGAAGAAATTACGCCAAAAAAAGAAAGAGGGTTACGAAAAGTTTTGAAAAATAAGGACGCATAAACTGATAGAAATTTTAGATTTTTAAGAAATGCGTCGTTCCAGTTAGTATTAGACCTTAGGAATCGTGCAAATTGCTCGATTATAATAGTATTTGGACTTGAATGTTTTAGATTTAGGTATATATTATTTATGAGGCATGCCAACCCTTTTGTAATTTACGCAACTTTTTCACAATATCCCCAAAAACTGTATATGTTAAGGCATTGCACATGTGTGTCATTGCTAATTCAATATATTCAAAATTCTTATATTTACCTTATTTTTTTTAATGCGCTTACCATTTTTTGTGTTTCTATATATAAATATATAACCCTAGAGGTGGGCTTGTCTGATATTTAAATTTAAGCAAAAAAAAAAAATTTAGCGTGGTGATGTAGAACGATTTGGTTTTTGAAATGTTAACAAGGGTAATATTTATTGTCATGTATTGTCTTAATGATTTTACTGAAGGTAATATTAAATTATAGTCTCATAATATTAGACTTAAACTCAATATTTAATATTTTTTTTCTTTTTTATCCTGTCCTAAAATGTGTCCTAAATGCAATCTCAACTTAAATTTTGTTTCATAACCTATATATTGATATCTACAAAGGATGTTATGAAACTTTGTACTTGACTGTGGTGACTCCTTTTGACTTCAAAAAACTTATATCAGAGCCGTAACCACCGGGGAGGCCAGGGGGCTTAGCCCCCCCTCCTCCCCCAATTATTAAACTATAATTATTAGGGAAAAACATATTTTCAACAAATATTTTATCTCCTGGGTACCTAAAAAAATGGGTACCTAAAAAAAAAAAAAGGTCTTTAATATGTAATATGGACCCCCCCCCCTAATATGAAAATTGTGGTTACGGCTCTGTATAATACGCCGCGGCATTTTTATACACTTTTTATGCATTTTGAAGTTATTGTTTTAAAATCTGGATCTCGACACCTTCAATTAATTGTTCTGTGAGATTCTATTTACTCGTTATTATGTCAAAACTGAATTTGCGTTTGAAAAGGTCCTGTATATATTTATAATTCACAGCGCTCAAAATCCATACAAATCTGGTTTTGTCTTTTAAAGTCTCAAAGGTAGATATCACACAAGTAGCAAACAATATTGGCGCAATAATGGGGCGATATTGTTTACAATATTGGCGCAATATTATAAACTATATCGGGCCAATATTGCAATGTGAACATTTTGCCAATATTGGCGCTACAATATTGCACCAATATTGTAAAGTCAATATTGACGATACAATATTGCGCCATTACTGTAAAGTCAATATTAGCAAAATGTTTACATTGCAATATTGGCGCGATAATGCTTAAAATATTGCGCCAATATTGTAAATAATATCGCGCCAATAATGGGGATATAATACTGGCCAATAATGGCCTAATATAGTTTACATTATTATCCTGATATATGTATAATATATATAGCTATATTAAGGCAATATATTGAGTATTTTCGATTAAATTTTTATTATTATAAAATAATAATAAATATTGCCTTCTACAAATTTTTAATAATTAAAAATTAAAACAGTTTTCTTGTTTAAATGATACTATAGTACTAGGCTGCATTATTTTTTTGAGTTAAGCAGGTTATAGTCTTGGAGATGACAATGATCATAGAACACGCTTTAAGAAAAAAAAATTGTAAATCATTAAATTTTTTTAAAGTTATATGAAACAGATTCAAATGAAAAAAAGAGGTATAGAGTTTTCCAAAACTAAAATATAACAAAATAAAATCAATGCTATTTAAATACAGGTACAAAAAATATGTATATATATATTTATAAATTACTGTATTAAACTCTCACTACCAGAAATGGGCATCGACTTTCATTATTTTGGCGATACTTATTTCAATACTCAATATTGGGCGTTGCTCTTTTTTTTTTTTCCATTATCTTTAATAATGGCCGTCGCCAGAAAGCTTCCAACTTTTTCTTTAATACTTTTGTTAGTAGCAATTTCGAAATGAACGAGTGCAACGATAAATGACTAAACGCAACTCTACAAAATGTCTTTTCAATATCATCACAATATAATTTTAAAATATATGGTTTTATACGTATAAATATTGTAAAATAATTAGCTTTTATTAAAATATTTATTTATTAAAAGGAAATGGGATGTAGAATACAAATATCGTACTTTACCTATAACGACCTTGCAGGACGTTTTTGTTTCCTTCCATACATTGAGTATGAAAAACATATTTCTTTGGCCATTAGCTGTATTAAGATTGCCGCTGTAAGTTGTTTCTCATCTCCTCCAACCGAAGTAAGAAAGTTCATCTAAAATAAAAAAATAAAAGTAATATAATTGGTGGTACTAAAAGTTTAATAGTTCCTCTTATGTGTATGTATTAGACGGTTTTCTATAATGCGATTCTTATTAAAGTATGACATTATGGAAGAGTAAAAGCAATTGGTTATAAATAGATTACGTCAACCTTTTTTGCAGATCAGGATTGATTTTTTTTATAAAACTTTTTTAATGTAACACTAATGTAACTAACTTTTATAACACTAGTTTTTTAACACTAGGAAAAACACCATGCAGAATTTCATACAGGTTTGTGAGCTTCTCCTACCCTTGACCACAATAACAGAGTAGTATAAAATTCTCCAAGATTGGTTGTATTCGCCACAGCAAAAAGTTGTGGTGAATACAACATAAAGATGTCATAGATGTCTGAGATTAGTAGTCATTGCTACACAAAATACATTGCTAACTGGGCATAAAAGATAAAAATCACAACAAAATATAGTAGACATTTATATAAAACATTCTTATATAAATCATAATTATAATCAATCATGTATCATATTGTATCATTTGTTTGTATGTTTCATATGAATGTATCATATTTTTTTAAAAATAGAAACTTTAATAGTATATGGAACTGTTTCTAAAAACTATTAATTAATATCAATTTACTGATACATACTCACTGATTCATAATGTGTCTTGGTTCCATAATTTTTCTTCCAGGTTGAAATGATCTTTTTCCCTCTTTAACCAGCAAATAAACTCAATAAATTAAAAGAGATGATCAAGCAAGGCCCTGATGGAAACACTTATCCCTAACTAAAGGTTTTTTTTATCTTTGAGAAACTGATGTACAATCTCATCAGTGTCACTTTTTTTGTAACCTGCAACTTTTTAAGCTGGAGGCATAGATAATTATTCGTGATCACTATCAAAAGCTGTTTCAACGCTTGATGTAAACTCTAACATTTCCATTCTAAAGCAGTTTCTTAACTGTCAAAATATATATATATATATAAAGAAAAAATGAAGCCATATTAAACACGAACAGTATTTGAGTCAAATATTGCTGTTTAGATTATTAACATCTTGCACGTGTGTAGCTGAAAATTAAACAAGCAAAAACAATATTGTAAATAAGCAATTACCAAAATAATAAAAAAATTTTATTATCAGCTGCTTCCAGTTACTTTTAGAAGCGTGGCTTCACGTATGGCAGCCAAAAAGTAACATGCTTGCAAGTGATTTGGCCAATACATCAAACTTTCATTGATCAGCCATGAAAAACAGGTTACATTCATGGCACACATGTTGTTTTTTTATTAAAAAATTCAGCCAGAGCAAATTTTCTAAACTTTATTGCCATCTTTAGTACAACAGTACAACAGCTAAAAAAATTTACAACAAATAATTATATAATATAAAAAACTTCAGATTAACTTTTTTTTCAGATTATTATTATTATTTTTAACTGAAATATTCTTAGTCTAAAATTTATTGAGTTTTATTTCTTAATGTAAATTGTTATCGCTTTGTATATCAAGTAGAGTTTGATAATTGGTTAGTTAAAGAAAGTGAATTTTAATGTTTGTGTGGTTTGGAAAGGTTTCCATAATAACATTTTTTTATTTAAATATGACATAAAGGAAGAGTTAAGAATATTTGTTACAATTTTATTTTTATCAGTGTTTTCACCTTCCATTATAGGTTGGCTTTACTACGTGCATTTATTACGGCTAATAAGCCGTAATAAATGCACCCTGAAGACAACTAACTTGAGGCTCTAAGCAAATTTTTACCCCGAGATTACAAGATTTAAATGAGCATAAGATTAAGATCTCAGGCTCAATTGAATGAGCCAAGCGTAGAATGAATATTTTTTTCAGTTATGGAACATAAAGTGTTTTAACATTTAAAATAAACATAAAAATAAATCGATGTTTAATTAATTTGAAATTTAACTTCATATTAATTTTATTTTTACAATAAATACAATTATACTCTATAATAAAAAAAAGAGTTTGTTTACTGGCATACTGTAGTAAACATACAGTGAATTGTATAACTTTACTATTTAAGATTTAAAAAAATGATCACCAGCATTTGTTAGTTAAGTATTAGGGTTGGTTTTATTAAAATATGATATGTCAACAAACTTGACATTGGAAGATTTTAAAGTATCTTTAGGCAAATAATTATTATAAGAGTTTTGATTTAACATATTTTTATTATTATTAATGTTGTTATTATTATTATTTTGTAAGGTTATAATTTTAAAAATAGAATAATTAGGCATATAAAATAAACCTATCAACCATTTGTTCTATTGTATCTACTTGTGTATGTCTTATTGTTTATATACAATTGTACATTTGATGTACCCAATATGCATCTAGATGCTTTTTGAATATTGTGACAGATGTTGAACACAATATTACAGATGGTAGGCTATTCTACAAATTTGTGAATTGTTAACTAAAAAGGTTTTTTTCGGACATTTGTCTTACAAAACATTTTTTTCAATTTATAAGCATGACCACAGGTTGTTAAGTTAGGTTAGTCATAACGGAGGAATAAATACTAACAAAATATATAATCTGTATGTTATTATTAAGAAGCAGCCATGCTGACACACGTGCTATTACAACTCAGATTAACTACTTAATGGTCTGTAATTACAATAATAAATATAACAGCCGTGCAGATGACATCACTCTAACACAGGTGTTGATGGATAAAATACTGAATGGTATTTAATGAGAAAATAAAAGGTTTGTAACTACATTTATAAATATTGTGGATGCTTTCGTAAGTTTCTGCTATGTCATTACGTAAGAAACGATAGCTCATGCTAGTTAAATTTATTCTCACTAGCCTTTGGTTGTAATTGAGTCCAGTCTGGCCAAAAACAGATTTATTAGACTTGCATAGAACATTTTCAATTAATTGTTGATCTTTTTAAAGCCTAAGATAGTAGACAGAGCTGCAAGAATCAAGGTGAGGATGAACAAAGAAAACAAACAAAGTACAAAATTTCAAAATATTGAGATTGACAAATGATTTTGTGATCATTCCAACATATTTATCGGCAGTGTTATTCTTTGTACTTACAAAATAAAAATCAAATTACTGTCAACGAAGATCTCAAAGCCTTTATTTTCGAGAGAGTTTTTAAGTATTGAGATTTATATCAACGAGTTTAAAAATGAACTT